TATTCGTCAGTCACTATTTAGAAGTCAGTGGGCAGATAACGCCAGAGAGAACACAACTCCTGGGCATGCGCAGCATACGCATGGAATCAGAAACTGAATTTTCGGATGTTGGGTATTCCCTACCCCTAGCAATTCTGTTTCTGACCCGCCGCAGACCAAGTCCAATCTTAGAAACATTTTATATGGCGTTAGTTAGTGTAGGCATGTTAGTTTGCCCCTTTTTGACAGAAATCTAATCACTTCATTCAACGTCGGATAACCTAACGCCATTGAAAGGCCCCTTCAAAAACTGCACTAAAGAAAGCAAAAAAGGAATAGCATTTAAAAGAAATCCCGAAGTCGGCACCCTAGCACTTCTGGATACGAGTACGGGCGTTCAAGGCTGATACGAGTACGGGCGTTCAAGGCTATGTGACATTTTTATTATGCTAAGAGGATCGGCCACTCCAATCGAATCATCCACAAGCTCGTCAAAGTGCAGAATCGGTGTCGGAAGTTCGCTCAAATTCCTAACCTCGGCCACTGGAGAGGTTACAATTCCGCCAAAAGAGTCCCAGCCAGATCGGTGCGGTTTATCGAAATAATCCAAATAAGATCCGCATCGTTCGACAGATTATTGGTCACTCCTAAGCAGTCAACATCGGATCTACCGTCTGTGAGGATTTTCTCAATGAAAAGAATAACGTTTATGATTTTCGAATTGTCCCAGGGACAAATCGTAGACGTTTTGAGAGCGGCACAACGGACGGTTGACCCTGCTCAGCAATTGCTTCTGTGTACGCTTTCCATTGGTCGAAGGACAGCGATTTCCTCCTGAAATTTTCAACAATTGCCGAGCAAGGCAGTAGGTGCTTTTCGAGGAACTATTTTTAATGTGTACTGCTCGAATAAGTAAAGATGTGCTAGCAGAACAGACGCGATTTGGGAAACAGGGTCGGTCCTACCGTTGGGACTTTTCGGAAATTTTTTACGACCCCCCTCTTCCAATCAAAAATTTCACGGCCCCCTTCACCACCCTCGCCATTATGGTCGCTGTTTCTATAGTGTTCCGTAACCCAATCTTCCGTCTATTTCTAATATTCACTATATTTTACCTCCATTCCCACTGCAACGCTTCCTGGAGGGGGGATTCTTTCCCACGCGCTTCACACAACACTCCAGTTTCACCTCAATTCCACATGCGATTTCGCGCGACTGCAGCAAGTACGACCCCCCCCCCCTAAAAACTCAACAAAATACGACCTCCCTACAAACTCAGCAAAATACGACCCCCCCGTTGGTACTTGTCCCAACGCAGGGTTGACCCCATTGGGAAAACATGCGCGTTCCCGATAGCACCCATGCCCAATGTTATCTAGTCTCCATTACCAACCAGCTCTCCGCTACGTGGATGGCGCAGACAACTTCACTCTTCTATTATAAAACAGAAGCATCTAACCACAAGTGTTTGAGGCAATTATTTGCTTGAATGCCCATGTTTTTCATAATCCTGGCTTAACAAATATGTTTTCGTTTTCAGGGAGCTAGCCTTCGTATTTTCACGGTGGCTCCAGATGGCGTGTCCGTTCCTTCGGAGGAAAAACGAATGGCATCGCTACTGGAGAAGTTTCGTATCCACTACAGTTACCTTCACGTTGTTCCGGCATTTACAAAGCCGAACCAAGAAACGTACGTTTCTCTTCTGCAGTTCGTTGGAAATAAAATAAAAATGGTTCCATACCGTGGTAACAAACATCTACGGTTACCGCTCCATTTATAGAAGTGAGAAGTTCTACAAGTCGTTGAAGCCGTTCTTAGGCGAGAGCGAAGAAGGACTGATTTCTGAAGAAGAATTGTCCAGAATGCGTAACAAAATTGCCAGACATCTCCAAACAGGGACGTTGTTACGGAATTTTTCTTCCACTGCAGATTTAGTGGTGGTGTAAGTTTATGATTTATTAATATGCAGTCTCTACAATGGGGTTATTAACCATGATTTGTTCGATAAACAATGTAGTTTAAGAATATTTCATGACTTTATGGCAATGTGTAGATCTTCTAACGAGAAAGCATCTGTTAGGTTGCCTACTTTTCAAAAACTTGTCTTTGCATGAATAGGAGGCCATGCGCAAGACCACAGACCGCCAGGTTAATTCTTAAACCTAAATCCATGTTAACTTCTCCTCCATACCACGAGAAGGTCCCTGGTACGACCTTCCCTCGTGTGGCAAAATTTTTCATTTCGAGTTGAACTTTCAAAACTCACGCGCAAAAACGATGTTGCATCAACTGTATGAATGCAATACCTTTCTTGACAGGACCGATCACGTCACCGTTACAACATAGATCTTGACAAAAAGATTCTAGTAAAACAGTCTGTGACCAGCATGGTGTAGGCCGCCTCATGGTGGTCCACAGACTTTTTCCCTCACCACTTTTTTTTCAATCGAAGCCTATTTGCAAGGGTTACTTACGGTCCTGATTATGAATATGGCACTCATCGTTCATGCTAACTCTATTTTACGCGAATTTTGAAACGTCAACTCAAAACGCAAAAGCAGGTCACCACAAGGAATCGAACCAGGGACCCCTCTTTTTGGTATTGTCGTGCCCAAAGGTGGACGGGTGGAGGCGCATGCAATCGCGGGCCTCGTGATCGTCCATAGGACCATAAAATCCCCGGCAAAACGTGAGGATTCCAATGGGTGCCCACAACACCTCTGGAGGGAATGCGTGCGCGCGAATGCTCTGAATTCCGTGCCTGCTGCGAGCTCAAGTCACAGGGCCTTATTCCCTGACCCCAGCAAGTACGTCGTGTACTTGACGCGTACGATAACCCTGATGGAGCTGGGCGAGAAATGCGGTATGCTGCGTGCCGTGTAGATGTAATTGACCGTTGACCGACAGATCTAACGACATAAGCGATAAAGCGATCGTAATAACCTATTGGCGACTGTTGACGACGAAGAATAACTTACCTAGAACTTTCTAAATGTGTATATCAACACAGAATAGAAAGCAGAATTACAATATGAAACCTGTAATAAACTATTAGGAAGGAAAACGGTGAATGACTACGATTGACTAAAGATGACTACATATTTGAAATAACCCAAACACATGTGATGAACTCCCGGTGGTTACCTAAACTACTATGGAGAAAACTAAATTATGCGTTATCTAAATTTGGGGCGAAACCGCTTGGCGCGCTACTATGTGATTATTGATAAATATCTATTCAAATGTTATCAAACACAAAGAGGCACCAAAATTTATTTCAAAAGAGTCCCAAAAGTTCGCAAAATATTCAAAAAACTCCAAAATTCCAAAAAAAACAAAAGTTTCAAAAGAACTCCTTTGAAATCTTCTGCTATATTTCGGTGTTTAACACCTTCTTCAGGCCTGAAATACATTGATTTTAATTGGTAAGAATATTGTTTTTTTAAAGTGATTAAATCAATGTATTTCAGGCCTGAAGAAGGTGTTAAACACCGAAATATAGCAGAAGATTTCAAAGGAGTTCTTTTGAAACTTTTCGTGTTTTTTGGAATTTTGGAGTTTTTTGAATATTTTGCGAACTTTTGGGACTCTTTTGAAATAAATTTTGGTGCCTCTTTGTGTTTTATAACATTTAGGTCCTGATGAGGCTCCGGGACAGCACAATACTGAGTATATTCATACATTATAAGAAGTTATACGACTATTTATAGAAAGCGAAGTGAGGATATATGCGGCCAATGCGAGGTCCGCCTAATGCTATGAGATGTAATTAGCAAGACGGACTGACCTTCTGAGGCGACCGAAGGCGAAGGCGAAGACGTCGAGGCGAGACGAGGCAACCGCTCAGCGCGATTGCATCATGTCGACTGACGTGGCAGCTGCGCGGGATATTTTGAATGGCGGCAGACAGCCAGGGGTCTGCGCCTAACACAGTCGACGCTCAGTCTGACTGCGCGCGCATGAAGCTGCGTTGCGGCATCCTCCCGCGCATGGCCTGGAGCATCTTTGCTCGAGGTCGTGGCGAGTTCACGACGGTATTCAGAGGGCCGTTCAGGAAAAATTAACGTGGTTCAGTGGTTCCCGCTGTCCCTATCTTATGCAAAAGACCGTTTTGAAAAGCTTGGCACCCCCTGAAAGACCTTCCTGGTAAGGGCTCTCTGCACAGGAACTCAAGAGCACCGGGGGACGCGAGTGAAGCCGGCGAAGTAAAGGTGGTTACCTTCTAGGGTGGAGCATGCACCAAAGTTGGCAGAGGTTTGCCAGGAAGGAAAGGTGAAATGCTATTGGTGGGCGGGATGAACACCGAAACAAGCGGAAGTCCACGAGCTTTATAAATCGGTTCAGAGACCGTCCAGGGACATGAAAAGAGGGGCAATGGTTGGCAAAGTAGGGAAGTCACAAGCCATCGGTGAGGTAGGGTGCAGCATTGGGGTAGAACCAAAACCTAAATCCGCAATATGGTTCAAAGATAGCGCAGAGATCGTGAAGAAAGCGGATAGAATGGCTCAAGGCTTAAGAGAGTAAAGTCGAATATTCGTGATGGATCAGGCTGAATTTAAGAATTCTTGCCACACAGTTCCATGGCAGCGCAGAGAAGTGTTGTGCGCGCACACCGTGGCTTGCCAACTGCTATATGTAAAAAGTACTAAGTGCACTTCAGTCGGACCTCAACTCTGCCTCTTTCTAAACGAGATCCCTGATAGAGCATACTGCACACCAGACTGACTCACGGCTACCGACGATGTGCTGCGTACAGATGACGCGTTGGCGTGGCATCTCCAAATTCGGCACGAATTCAGCGACAGAACGCACGAGACACGTTATTTTATTTGAATAACTAACTACATGATTTTTTCGCCTGCCTTCAAAGAGTGGGAAAATCTACAATTCTAGACCCCTTTCTGAGCTAAAAGGTTGATATTTTTATCGTAAACTAAAAGACATTTAGTTAGTAACTGGTGTAAATTTGGAGAAGATTCAGTAAGTTTTTGGAAAGAAAGCTTCTGGAAGCCGTTGTCAACTGGTTTTTGGCCGCTATTGTATTATAAATATCGGCAAGATACAGTATTACAAGGCCAGTTCATACGCGCTA